AGGTAATGGCTACCCTTTTACCTCTTATTTCATCGAAATTCCAGGGCTGAAGTCATCCAGTTGCTTCTAGTGAAGGTGTATGGAGTTTAAAAACACAGTGGAGCACTTCCTGTATTACGATATGACATCACAAGGTAGAACAGTGTTTTCCATTTGTGAGCCTAAATATGTAGAGTTTTTGTGTTAAACATGTGTGAATGAAAACACAACTTCAGGTCTGTTTCTGATGAGGAAACAACATTGTAACATAGATCCAAAAATAGTGTAACATGGGTCCTTTAAAATACGGCATTATAGTTGCATACATTTCCCCGCAGACCCATTATTAAAGCTGTAATGTTAGAGATAGGTTTCAGGAAGTCATCAAGAGAATATAGTGAGTAGATGCAATGGTTTTATCAGCTTGTGTTTCCAGAGGAGAGCTGAGGAATGTATGAGGAATCTGTAGCGATAAGCAGTAGATGGTACAGTTATGAGTGTGTACTGCTTGCGCAACACTGTTTCTAAGACCTGGTTTCATCACTCACAAAGCCTCAAATAATAACTTACAGGGTCCATATTGTACTATTTTCTGATCTATGTTATAATTTTTCCTCATCACAAACATACTTGGAGATGGGTTTTGTTTCATTCAGGCATGTTCCCCACATAAATCCTGCATATTTAGGCTTCTTTCAAACTGAAAACACTCTGTTCCACCTTGTGATGTCATGTGGGAAGTGGAGTCAGGATTAGGAAGTGCTCCACTGTGTTTTTAACTCCATACAACTTCATTGGAATCATTTGGATAAGTTCAGCTCTGGAATTCCCAATCTTTTCTGAACTAAAGGTAAAAAGTAGCTGTGAACTTGAAAACTACCACTTCATGACATCACAAGGTGGGACAGAGCAGTTTGACCTGTGGAGATGTGGATACACTAATAATGCAGATTTCTCAAATGTGTGAATGAAACAAAACACAACTCCATGTATGTTTGTGATAAGGAAAAAAGATGATAACATAGATCAAAAATTGCGTAATATGGGCCCTTTAAGGACTCCAATTTAGCTGGATTTTTTTTCCTATTACAAATCTCTCAGAACAATTGTATTTCATTGTTATTACTTTTTTTATATATAGCGGATACTTGTCACTGATAATAAAATACATGAGCTGTTTGCTGTGGTGGTTTTAAACAAATATTATCATCTTGGTAACAAATGTGCCATTGACAATCTTAATGGAAAAACAAACAAATAAAGACAACACAGATTGCAATTAATCATGGCAATAGAGACAGCTTGTTATTGTATAAAAGCAATCACAGTACAGTTACACAAAGGAATACGCAAAATGTACATCAAGTTCCATCCAAAGAAAAGTATAAAACATTTCTGTTAAGTTACATGCTTTCCCAATTGGAAAGAGATCAGTTCCCATAATAACATAAGTATTATTTACACCTCGACCATTGGACTACAGCCACAGAGCCAGTGTGACCTGCTGGACATTTTTTAGGAATAGTCTAAAACGCTGCCAAGTTCAGTACTATTTACACACAAGAAGAACAGCTCAAAAATACATAAACTTGGAGCATCACTGAATACACTCATGCTAATGTAATTTTCTATAACGCCAACAGGCCTTAAAGGTCCTATACTGCGCAAAATGGACTCCTGTGAACTTAAAGCCACATTATAATGCTGTTACTTCATACCTGGAGTTGTGTTTTGTTTCATTCACATGTTTGAGTAATGCTGCATTATTAGGCTGTTTACAACTACAAAGCTAAAAATGCCCTGTCCTTTTTAAGTTAACAGCTACTTTTTAACTAGCCAGGCTGGCGCCTCCTAGTGCCTCCGCTCAGTTTCATTTCTCTCCAGCGACTAGGTCAGGAAGTGGAATACACTAGATTGTTTACAAGAACCCCGGAAGATGTAGACCGCGCAATGGCTGTAAGAGCTGTAAAGCGCCTTTCTGGGTCCTTTTTGTGGTACAGCACAACAGTAAACAAAGCGGTCGAGATGGATGTAGACAAAGCCATACATTTTGTGTTGGCAATGATTCCTGAGATTGAGGATTTAAAGCCAGAACAAAGAGAATGTTTGGTGAATTTTATCAAGGGGAAAGACGTTATTGCCCTTCTTCCTACCGGATTTGGCACATCTACAAAGTGAATCAACTTTAACTTTAGTTCAGTAGAAATTGGCAATTCCTGGCCTGAAATCATCCAAATGATAACAAAGAAGGTGTATGGAGTTTAAAAACACAGTTCATGTATTACCACATGAAATAACAAGGTGCATCAAAGCGTTTTTAGTTTGAGAGAAGAACTACCAGTAAGCCAAAATATAAAGGGTTTGTGTGTTGAACATGTGTGAATGAAACAAAACACAACTCCAGGTATTTTGTGATATGGAAACATTCTAACATAGATCAGAAAATAGCATAATATAGGACCTTTAAGTTATAAAAAGACATTCATTACAAGGCTGCTGGCAATTATGTGACAAATCGCAAGTCTCATACTATTCCAGTGAAATCTTCAATCTATACAGACATAATAAATAAGTCTGATAATAGTAATAATATTTACAACATAAACGAGTGTAGATACTTAGAACTGACCTACAGCGTTTCCCAGTGTATATTTTTTAACCTTAAATTTCCAGAGCATCTTCCACATGCAGATTTTATACAGAACAGTTTAAAATAACAGACAACAATAGACAAGTTATAACATATAGTCTATGTTCAGTTTTGGGGGATTTGCATGGCTTCATTCACTTTGGTAGCTTGTGTTTGCAGATGTTGAAATAATAAATTGACATGACAACAAAAAATGAACTAGTCTGTAATGGGCAGCTTCACTGGAAATATTTATAACGAGCCAAGAAAGAAATGAATTATCTGCTGGAGAGAATTTTCATGAGTAGGCAAACTGTGCTAACCTTAAATGTTGACGTGAATTTGTACAAAACAGAAATGGGCAAATGTAACAAATGGTTGATATGAAGAGATTAATTAAAATTTCTTTTCCTGCCAAAGGTCAGATATGCTACAAGAGCTGGGCGTGTTTACAAGAAGCTATACTAGAGCGAGCGTACAAAAACTGCAATGTCATCTTTAACTGCTGACTTGGGCACTGACTTCTTCTGGCTTTTCCATTCTGACAAATTTTGCTTTTAAGCGGTTAGGGCTGCGTAATCCATGACTGCACTGGAGAACAGAGGCAGATTGTGGCTTCTAACCACTTAAAGACATGAATGCACATAAAGAGTTATTGTGGATTATTTCATATTGAGAGCTGCAGTTTGGTGAGGTTCCTCTGGTGCATGTTATGGTGGCGCACCAACTCATCGCTCCGGGCAAACTTCTTCTGACAGTTGGGCCAGCGACAGTTAAAAGGTTTTTCGCCTGATTGGGCATTGCCAGTAAAAAGGTAACAAAGAGAGAGAAAGATATCAGTCATTATAAATAGCTGTTAAAGTTCAGTAAACATGAAATGAAAGTGGATGATTTTTAAAGGTGCACTGTGTAACTTTTTGGTTGGGGGTCCATCACCTACTTGTTTCTATGGATATTTCATTGCTCTGCCTGGAATGTTCCACAATATGACATTAAACAGCTTTACTTTACATTTACTCAACTACAGGTAGCCCAAAAATACAAATAAAAACAGACATTCTGAGCTGTAACTTGGTCTGGCTTGGTTTCCATGAAGATAGCAAGGTTTAATGCCATACTGTGAAACATTCCAGAAAAAGCAATAACATCTCCATGGAGAAAAGCATTTGACAAACCCTCCACCAGAAACGTTACACAATGCACCTTTAAATAAGAAATATAAAAATAAAAGTTTACGCACTTGTTTTACCTGTATGAGTCCGGGTGTGTGTCTTAAGGTGGTCAGACCGAGAGAACTTTCTCTGACACGTCTGGCATTCGAAGGGTTTTACTCCTAAACACATGTAGAGTTGGCATGCACACGCACACGCACACACATCCACACAACAGGGTACACAAATAAGTTCACACACACAAAAACAAACCAACAAACACCCGGGGAGAAAGAAAAATACAGTAGAGCAGAGGCCTGAAGCCATGCCAAAGTCTGGCCAGCCTAAAGCTAATTCGTCTTAAGAAGAACAGTGCACTTAAAATGTATGATTTATTTTTATCTTCTATTTAGCTTTCATGCAGAATAGAGGAGGTGGAGGAAAAAAAACAAAGGGCTGACAAAGTGGAAAAGAGAAAGTATTGAACCTGTGTGCCTCCTCTGGTGTCGTTTGAGCTGATCCGAGCGAGAAAACCTCCGGCCACAGTCTGTGTACTCACACTGGTACGGCTTCTCCCCTGCACACAAACACATGATGAAGGTGAAGTCTGCAGGTCCGTGTGGCTCAGTGTGCTGGTGCTACTGAGGTTATATTTTAAGTGCCTCCTACATTGTGTAAGGACAGATGATTTGGTAAATATGTATCTTTAAAGTTACTACACAGTTTCATCTTTATTTTCATGTTTGTGTGTTCTCATGTATCACACATGATTGATCACAAAATGTTACTATCAATACAATAATATATTTTATGGTTACAAAGTACAGCTGAATATTAGATGTTCTAATTTTGCAGTATCATGTATTTGTTTTTATTAGATAATTGACAATAATATTATAATGACAAAATTATGACAAAATAGTAACAAATAATAATCTTAGTTTCTTGTATGTTGACCTGAAAGATAAAGTACATTACAGTATAAAGATCACAGTGAAAATGTACCTGTGTGTTTGCGTCCATGCATCTGCAGATGGGACAGTTTGAAGTAGCGTTTGTTACAGCCTGGGTAGGCGCACATGAAGGGGCGCTTCTCACTGGTCTCAGAGCGCACTATGGTTGGGGTGATCCCGGGCACCCGCCTCACGTCCTGCCACACAACACAACATAAACATGGGCACAGGAGCCCCCCCTGCACCAGTGACTCTCACTGTACAATGTAATTAAGATAACAGGCAGTTGAGCGTGACCCCGCCCGCTCTGGGGGTCAGCCCAATAAACGCCTCATATATTCATTAGCTGTGAATTAGCAGTAAAATGAGCCCAGACAGACGGTGGTCCGAGGGGAGCTGTTAGTCACGCCTCTCACACCCCGCCCTCCCACTGCAATGAATAAACAGAGGACAATAACAACAGGAACTGGGGATAACAAAGTCAGGACCTTATTAAAAATAGAAAAAACATGGTACGTTTTAAGTGGTTTAGTGGATCAACCTTACCCAATAGATATATAATATATATTTAATATATACTATAATGTATATATTTGAATGTTAGTTTCATTTACGCATCGGAAATTACATGAACAATGCATTTTCTAAAATATGTTACAGGGACTCTGAATTTGATCGAGTGCGTTGATAGTATTTAATTTTGTCACTTTAAATCATTCCTTTGTTTCATTTATTCAGCCAATAATTTATGCACACCTCCTTTGTATGCAGCCACGGACTCACGCGCGGAGGTTAACCTTGAGCCTGTGCTACTTTGCCTTGTTCGAAGTCAAAGTCGAACTAATTACAAATGAAGAGGCCTTTAAATTCTCAATATGCTGAGAGTATTATATTTCAAAGGCAGTAAATTATGTTGAGCTAAATTAAACTAACACTTGTGATAGATGGTACTAGGAGTCATGTGTGTAATTTGGCAGTGTGTAAAATGTTGTGTAATATCTTAAATAGAGAGAATCATGAGTATTTATGTATTTTTTTGCTCTGAACCTTAATTCTAATGCGTTTTACCATACATTTCTGCATCAATGGTAAAACAGTAAAAATGAGTACATGTTCCAGAAAACAAAGAAAGACTAATGTTTTTAAGTAGTGCAGAGGACTTAGCGCAGGTCTGGAGAATCTCTGTTCTGTGTCCTTTAGAGGCGCTGACAGACAATAATTAAAATGTAATGATTTATTAACATGCTCGTATGGAAACTGTATCTGTACACAGCCTGGCCCTGCGTGTGTGTGTGTGTTTGTGTGTTTCTTTTTAATGGTTCAGTGGAAAAACTCTGCTCTTGGCCTTTTAGCTGCACTTTTGAAACTCTGAGCTGCTGCATGTCACGTTTCACTGAATCAAGACAACGCTACTGTTTTTATTTCAGAGATTACTTTGTCTTTACAAAGTATTTAAGCAATGTGGATTTCATCTCAAGAAAAATATGATTATGACTTAAAAACTGAAATCAATAATAGACAGAGCTACACTACAAAACTAAATTAAGTTAAAATTATTTGAATTAAGAAAGTTTTATCATGATGTGAGTACCAGTAAATTTCACTTAACAAGTAAAATTATCTACCAGTGGAACAAGGCATGTTGTACTTATATATGAAATAAATTTGACTACACTTGGCTACACAATAACAGCTACTCTTTGCATTTAAATTAAAAAACAAAATCTAATGTTGCTTCAATTAAGAAATACACACTTATTCCACTAGTAGATCTATTTACTTTTCAAGTTGAATCTACTCAAATAAAGTAAAATGTTCTTAATTTAAGTCATTTTAACTTACCTAGATATTGCTTTTTGCAGTGTAAGCCTATCATGATAATTACTATATCAACTTCTCGTTCAGTACGTGATACATAGAACAATATTTTTGGGGGTCAGTATTTATCATGTGTACATTTTCTTTGCACTACTGGGAAATTTGTAGTTATTTTTTGGCTAAATGATAAGATTTAAGCCACAGAAGGTTGAATTAATAACATCTATGACTCATTACAGATGCAAACTAAGTACTAAAGTGTTTCATTTTACTGTTTATTTATTGCAGTTCATTGACTTTTAACAATATTGTAGATTTAAAATAGTTTTTGTGGTTTAAATCTGATTTTGGATTATTTTGTCAGTGGCATAAATTAGTTTCAACATTATCAAAATTTGTTATCATGGCAGGCCTAGATAGAACAGCAACAATCTTCATTCACATGGGTCAGTAACAGGTGATTTATTTGAACAAATTCATATCATTACCCACATAATATGCATGTAAGAAAGTGTGGATATCAAATGAATACATTTTAAGTAAAGTTAAGATATTTTAAATGGAGATGGTTTGAGAAAAGGTCTGGATAGTATTCATTTACCATATTGGGACAGGCTTTGCTATAAAATTTATATCATTATATTCATACTAAACACATCAGACTAGTAAATAACACTATATAGATGCTGACCAGGCAGTAATATATTTAAGTAGCAATAGTACTGTGTTTCCCATATGTTTACATGAAACCACAGTGGCACAGGGAATCCTAAATGAATCTTAAATCATTTTATAGAAAACACATTTTGGGGGTAAATACATCACTTATCATTGCCTCTTAATTAAAAAGGGAATGATTAAAGATGAAATAAAGTTACTACTGCAGATTTATAATAATACAACAACCAAAAGTATCATTTTTAATAATAATAAGTTTATTGATAAACTTTTTTAAGACTATAGGAGCAAAAATTAGACTACGGAAGGCCACCGTAGTCTGCCCTATTAACGGGAAACACTGATAAGAGTATTCTGTTTATATATAGTTGTGTACCTGTATGCCCCTGAAGACGCCGTGTGTGTGGATGCGGTATTGCGTGCTACAGCTGTACACCATAGGAGCACTGGGGTCACTGTCGTAGCTGGCAGGATGACTAAAAACACAAGAGAGGAAAGAATAATTCAAAGTTCCATCAAAAACTTAAAGCGGTCATTGTGTAAAGCTATGGTGAAACATTGTGTATTGCAAAACAGCAAGAATCCTTACAAATGATTCATAAGTGATTTCATAATTCAAAAAGAAGCATTCAAAAACCAGGTCTCAGAAACCCTGTTGGATTAAAAACACTGATCAGCTGTTTATTCTCTCAAACGCAATATCGACAACAGCTACACAGACATTTACTCATTTATTTTTCTCGGTTCATATTTTTGGAGCCGAACAAAGGTGCTCTGTGTGGCTCAGCATTTCCCCTCATATCTCCACGATAACACAGAGACACAGTCAGCTCTTGTCTATGAAATGTGCAATATTTCAGTTTGTCTAATCGGAGGATGGGAGGTTGTATCCTGCACTGCTGTGGCTTTGGAGATGGTATAGGCTACACAGTCCAGCCGGTTTAACGTGCCTTTAGTTTGTATTTTCCCAAGGACCCTGAAACAATGGAGCAGTATATTACATATGTATTCACAGATGTTCATTCATACAAATAAGTTCCTGTTATTATGCACAAAAACTGTATGCTTTTAATACAATAGAAATACATTGGATACAGCGGATTTGCCCTCAGTAGAGAAGCTTTACTGTGACTGAAATGTTCCTTTTATAGATTCCTTTTTTATCTACCAACTCACCTTTAAAATTTTGGTTTCATGATTTTTGTTCATATGATATTTTTGAAAGTTTGGGAGGGTGGCTTCGTGAGTAGAGTTAAATAAAGAAAAAATCTGTTATTATTATTTTTTAAAGGTCCTATATTACACAAAATTGACTTTTGCAAATTTTAAGTCATGTTAGAATGCTGTTACCTCATCAAAAACATACCTGATGTTGTGTTTTGTTTAATTCACACATGTTTGAGTGATCCTTTATTATTAGTCTGTCAACAAGCTCAAAATGCTCTGTTCCACCTTATAATGTGATGTAGTAATGGTAGTTTTCAAGCAACATCTTCCTTTCACCTTTAGTTCAGTAGTGATTGGCAGTTCTAGAGCTGAAATTATCCAAATGATTCTAGTGAAGGTGTGGGGAGTTTAACAACTATTTCAGAAATTTTCTCAGCCCAAATTTGCCATGTTTGTGTTTTAAACATGTGTGAATGAAACAAAACACAACTCCAGGTATGTTTGTGATGAGGAAACACCATTATAACTGATCAGAAAACAGCGTAATATGGGCCCTTTAATAGTGCATGGCTGCTGCTGGTACCAGTGCATGAGTGTGTGTCTAAGATCCAGTGCAGCCCAAATGAACGATGATGTATGGCTGTTGGCTCAGAGCGGAGGTATTTGTGAGTGGACACAGACTCTGACAGTGAACAGCGCGCAGGTCGCTCTGACATATAGTACAATGCACTCCACATCACATCAGTAAAAGAGGAGCTCGGCCAGAATAGATGAACTCATTCTGTTACCTCTGTGGGAGTGAACTGCTGCACTGCTAAACAGTGCCTACCTCTTTATGGTCGACGCCAGTGTATTGACAGGGTTCCACGCCACACACTCCAACTGAGAGGTCATTTGATATAAATTTTCTCCACTGTGAACAGAACATAAAGGAAAAAATAATAACTTTTATTTCAAGAAATTCTGACTGGTTCTGAGTCAAGTTTTAATGCTTCTTTACCAAAGTGATCCTAAATATGACCTCAGGCTAGACAGAAAGCAAGCACACAACGCAGTCAGAGATACTACCATTTGTTCTCTTGCACTGACTCTTTTTTTCTATTACAACTAAATCCGAAACATAACATATTAATATAAATAGAAAAAATACATCTTCTGTTATTAATATCTGTTATATTACACAAGAGAAAAAAAACAAAACTTGACTGATTCATAAACTCTACAGAGGCTAATCAGTTATTTTAAAAAAAGTTCTGCGTAACTCCAGTTTTGGCAGTGACTCATGTGACCCGTTGTAGCTGTAGTACCTTCATGTGTTTTTATGTGTTTTGATGACTTTCCTTTGATTAACCACATACACAAGCACCATTTGTTAGTGCAGCGAGTGATTAAAAGCTACACAATACGCACAGTGAAGTGAATATGAGACACACACAGAGGATTTATGCCTCTCACAACCGCCCCACCTGCACAGCACTGCAGGCCGCTCAGGGGAACCAGCGGTGCCTGGTACCCCGCTCATTACACAGCCATTATTTTACTGTACAGCCAGGGCACCACGCCAGCGCAGCACAAATGGTATTTTCGAGTTGGAAACATTGGGAGTTTGGGAAAGAGGCTAAGCAGAAAAACTAAAGTAACAATTCATGACATTTTTAAATAAATAACTGTCTGTGTTTCCTCTTGGTTGCAAACTGATGTAACCCATAGCTGAATTAGTAAAACCATTAAGAACACTGTCCATAACATTCAGTGTCTGGTACAGGGCAGTTCTCTTGAGAATATTATCAGAGAACACGCTGCAGAGGTTTATGGTTCCTGGAATATTTTGAAACTTAAACTGGATAAAAAAATAATATGAGAATGTAGTACATAAATATAACAATTTACATTTGTTTTATTTGAGGCCAAAAGGGCAAAGTTCAGATTAAACGGCATCCTGTTGGTATCATGTTTTAGAGCACTCTAACTCATGATAGAGATGGAGAGGCAGCAGTTATGTTTATGACAAAGAATAACTTCAGATTTAGGTTAGCTTATGTTTTTATATCCTGCAGAGATCCTGAAGCTGTGAATTCCACAGTTCTTTATGTCTGCGGCATGTCCGGAATGTTTGCTTTACAGAGAGAGCATCCTTTTTCATGAAAAACTGGTACAGTTCAGCTATATTTGAAAATGTGTTTTAAAAACATGATTAACTTCATTGTTACATTGTCCTTTTTAAGTGCAGGATTACAGCAACTGTTCCCTATATCAACATGGCACGAGGAAGAATTTGAGAGCCACATTTCTCACCAGAGTGATTTCCCATTGTAATCGGTAAATTCCATTAAAAAGGAAACAAATGCAAAGGAAGCTGTGGTGGCAGACAGACCTGTTCTGAAGGTGGACATCCTGTTTAGCGAAAATGTCCTCGTACCTTTCACTGAACTACTGCAGTCTGACATGAAACAATCGACAATAGCCCCTGACATGGAGCCAGATCTAATTGTAGATGACAAATACAAACAGACCATGATGGGGTGTTACCTGTTATAGGGATTCCTCAGCAGCAGAGCCTGGCTCCCTGTGCAGCTGTCTGAGGGTGTGTGGCATCCATAGACCGGAGGAGGGACGGGGTACTGCTGCTCACCTGCACACACACAGGGTTAAGAGTTAAACACTTGGTTTGGTCTAACATGGACACACTTCACAAAACACAGTCACACTAGTGAGTAACTTGTAAATGTATTCCAAATATTGTGATTGAAATACTTTTGTAATTTATTTTACATACTTTCAGCACAACAAGGTAAACTCATTATGAATACCCACAGGACGAGACTAACAAGCTTTTAAGACTTATCTTTTTAAATCATGACTGTTTCATTTACTTTTTATGCATGTGGCCAGCATGAGAATTATTTACATAAATATCTAAGTAGCTCTGTCACTGTAGAAAGATATAAAGTCATATATTTTATGTATGTTTTGGATCATTTCAGTCACCAATAATAAACTATGGTAGTGAAGCAGTCTTTAGTGTAACAGGCTCTGTGTGTGAATCATAGTCCTCCTGCCCCTCTCTCTCTTGCACCTCTGTGCCTGGGGCCTTGGACTTGTGTCTCTGCTCACTCTGTTCGGTCATGACCTGCTGTAGGTTACTATGGACTCCACTAAATTTACATCAGCAGCTTCCGAACTTGACCCGGCCCTGCGCGCTGAGATATTTACCAACAGGCCGAGCGGCGGAGAGGGGAGGATGTGAGAGGGACCAAAGAGGAGGCCAGGGAGTACCAGAGTCAGGATGTGGCTGATTTATGCAGCCAGCGGGCCAAGTCTGAGCGGACTAGAGACTGTGGAGCAGGGGACACGGCACTCCCCGGGCGAGGGTCAAGGAGCCGCCCAACACACAGCTGTGTGACTAACTTTAAATACACCTCAACATCTGCATTTAGAAGCTCTCATCTCATTCTATTGTTTTTCAGATTTGTACTGACTGCTTTCCTTGAACATGAAATAATGGATTTGAATCACAAACTGAACCCAATGACACTGTTTCAAATCTAAGAGTTTTTTTTTTCTTTTCTACATGTCAAAATCTACAACAGTATACAAAATCAGCTAAAATATATGAGATGGCAACTGGCTTTGGAAAATATTTTTTAACTATCAAACATATTTTAAACTTTTAAAGTGTATTTTAACTATGTAATCTTTGCACTGTTTTTCTGACCCAGCTCTTGTATATAGAGATATAATTTGTATTACTATATTTGTATATTTTATTTGTACTTGTGCATATACATTTATATAAGTATGTTTTATTTGACAAGTCTCTTGCTATTTTTGCTACGTATTTTGAATTTAATATTACCATTTATATTTTTGCTCTTTGTTATTATAATATATTGTGATGAAAGTCTACTGCAATAGAAGTCCATAATAGTACTACTTGATTTTAGACTTTGATTTAATTGTGTTTTACTCACAATAAATCATAAAGTGTTGTTGACATGATAGCATTGTTGGGTTTATAGTTTCTTACCCATGGTGTTTTGCTGGGTTAGAGCGTCTTCATGTTTAAAGGAGTGGTTGGAGAATTGTGAGCTGTGGTGTGTAGGAGTGTGACTGTAATTACTGGCTCCATCGAAGGCAACTGCGCTGTAACCTGCAACATAGAAACAAGAGACAGATAGCATTATGCACAAAAGGTCAAAGTGAAGAGTCATTTTGGGCTAAGAAACAATCAATCTTCTTCATAAAACAACTACAACACTGTACAGTACATTTATACAATATGTTAAAAAAGGTAAAGTGTATTATTGTTAAGTTCTTCAACAAAACTAAGCTGATTGTAAGGTTAGTCCAAGTCACAGCAAATAAGTACCTCTATTATAACTATAACTTTTTTGGAGGGATTAGAAAGGAGGATGTATGGAGAGAATCAATGCAGACACAGGGAGCACATGCAAACTCCACACAGAAATGCTCTATCCGCCACAGATATCCAACCAAGGACCTTCTTGCTGAGAGTCTTAACCACATATGTGAAGCCTTACAATTTTTTATTATGCTGATATGATCATGAAATCATTTCAGAATAAATAAGTAAATGACAATTTTGGACAGACAGATTATAATTATTGTTATTAACTGTAATATTTAGGATCATGTTTTTTCAGTGTGAATGACTCACACTGGGCTCACACTGGGTTCTTCTTGTGGCCGCAGAGTTTGGCACAGACCTGACTCCGAGTGACCCGGGGTCATCAGAGCAACCTCATAAATCACAGCTTCACAAACAAGTCACATTCATTAAAAACACTTTCACTGAAGTCAGTGCGAGGTGGAGCTAAAGGGAGGAGAAATCTCATTAAAACACGCATCTGTCTTCCACTCACTCTCCACGGCTTTGAAGACAAGAGGTTTTGTTGCACATGTGACAAGTACAGAGTCATTTGTAAACGAAAACCAAACTTAGTGAGATGACCACAAGAGATATGGAAGATACAGTATTTTAACTCACATTATTATTATAATTTTCTTCTTTTTTTTTTTTGATTGATTTTTAATACCTGTCATTATGCGGCAGAGAAAACTGATATGGTAAAAACTCAATAATATAATTATTATTTCAGCAATAATATAATTTAATATAATCTTATCAATCAATTTCATCAGTATTTATCAGTTATTTAAATAAAAAGAAAAACATATATATATGTATTTTTAAATATACATGCCATATTTTTGCACTTTACACACAGCTTTCATCAATTAACTTGCTTTTTTGATAAAACTAATAATTAAAGGAATTATAAATTAAAAATAAAGAATAATTCTGTGGTCCTGGATTTGCCCAAAGTGACTATCAGTGTGACCTGTGTGCTCGCCCAGCCTCGGCAGAGGCAGATAAAGCAGGTGAGGGGTCGGCCCGGTGCGTTCACTCTGATGTTATTTCTAAATTAGAAAGTTGATAAGCATGTTTGTGCTGATTACACAGCTGACTAAACCCTTTGAGCTTATCTATCCGTGAGTTTCATAATCATGAAAAATGAGGACTATTGCCATAATAATACAAAACATAATACAGAATAACAATTTAAAACTAAATATTCTGTCTTTTGAATAGTAAAAAGTCGTCAAAATATCATCAATGAGAAGCTGAAGCCCATGAATAGGTGAGAGAAGAGATTTGCAGCAGAATTTTTCACACAAAAATATGAAAAATTAGACTTCACTTTTTGCATCAATGTATTACACTTAATTTAACCACACAACTAAAAAATAGACTGACTTTTGCAGGCCGCTGACACAGAGAAACAGGATCTCTGGTGGAGTGAAATACATGCTACATGTATTTGTAAATACAGTGGGTTACATCAGAATTTGGCTGTTTGAAGGTGTGAAATAATGTATACAAATTTTGTTTGATGTGGTGTTTTTTTAAACTTACAGGGTATATGAATGTGGATTTTCAACTTTATTGTTTGTTCACCTTTTCTTCTAAAATCAAAATGTTACAGCTGCAAAACACTCTGCAATATTTGTTTTATTTAAGCCGTGTCATCATTTACAATGATTAGTTTGTACTTTACCATATTATTCTACTGTCACATAGAAATATTCTTGTGCAGTTGTTTAAACACATTTTGTTTGAAACCAAAACTATGTGCATTATATACATGTGAAAACTGACTGACCTCTAAAATATCTATGTATTTCTAAATAAATGGCCCGCTATTAAAATGTAAACTCATGTTCTGGTGCACAGTGCTGGAGGTGAGTCCTACCTGTCTGGTTGCGTTGTGTGGCTGGTGCGTCCATACAGTTGGTCAGGTACGGCGTGCTGCTGAACATGCGGCCGGGGGCCTGGTGGTGGTGAGGGGCCGTCACTGAGGGGGCTTGACTGGGCGCAGGGGGCCCTCCAAATGCTGCACCGTACCTGCATGCCCCTGTCCCCGTGAACTGCCCTGAGAAGTGCACAGTGAATGCGCTCAGGCCACAGTGAGGGTCTGTGTCGTGGTGGTGGGGGTCATTGGTGGTCCCCCATGTGGGCTCTTGTTTGATGAAGGAGTGTGGTCCCAAGGGAGCTGTGAGGAGCACCCAGTGAGGGGTAGGGTGAGGCTGCAGTGTGAAAGTCCAGCACCGGGGCCCACTGCGGCGCTGTGCTGACGGGCAAAGGGGGGCACCCAGGGCTCGGGCCAGCCGGGAGAGGGGTCAGCAACGAGTTCAGCTCGCGAACATCTGAAGTCATAGTGTCCTGGAGACTAACGGGGTCCAAACAGACGTAGTGTGAATCTCCAAATGCAGCACTTATGGGTCTCTATCCAGTTTTGTCTTCACATTTGGAACAAGCAGTGATTCATCAAACCTTGTGTGGTCTCTTTAGTCCAATTTATGTCCCAACAGAAAATTGAGAAGCAAAAGGGTTTTCTCACCAGTTTTCAGTTTTCTGCCTCGGTCCTGGACAAGAGATGAGAGAGGTCCATTGAAGGAGGAGAGGGGGTCCTGCTCAGAGCGCTGTCTGTGAATGGACACGGAGCAGTGAAGGAGTGAGGGGGAGTAGCCCACAGCTCCCTCCACACCCCCGCCCAACACCTCCCACCCCCCCCCACATGTGAGGGTGTGTATGAGCCGGGATGAGGCTCAGGGGTGGAGTCAGTGGTGATGAAGGACAGGACCCTTCATTCAAGTACTGTACACTGAACAGAAACACTGTTACTACAGGAATAATGTAAACAATATAAAAAATAACAAATTAATATTGTCAACCTCAGGACAATCAGCACATCAGATGAGTTATGAGCAGCAATTATTTAAGAATATTTAAAATAATAAAATAAAATGTAAGTGGTGCATATAATCATTTGAAGACATTAAACTAAACACTTATAATAATAAAAAAAAAAAAAAAAAAAAAAAAAACAGGAGTCATTTTTCATTACACTTTCACTATACTTTCACTATATTTTACTGCATTTTTTTTGTTTTTGAAAGAGAAATCTGAAATTCTTGGTTTATCAGTTTTAACAGATTTGTCTGCAGAGGCCCGCAGCACAAAAAATAATTACACACGACAGTCAATCAAGGTCTGATCTTTCCATTTCTTTTTTCTTTTTTTAAATGTAGAACTATTTATTTATTAATTTATTTTTCTATTTTCACAAACCGAAAATATAGTCTCATTAAACTGATGATTGATGATTTTGGTGGGTTATCATTTTTGTAGGCCTATTTCCTTCATCTAGGAGACTAATACCAGCGTAGACCACAGTGCGTCAGTTTGTCGTCCCACGGGTGAATAGAAAAGAAACGTGGCCTTGGCCTGATCGCGGTGCATTACATGGCCTCTCGCGCAGTCTGGTTTCGCCTTCCCTTTGGCCTAATTCAGAATTGGCGAGGTTGAAGGCCCTGGCTATTTTTAAACACCACATTGTCAGAGAGCTTTAGGACATAAGCTATAGAAACTCTGAGAACTCAGAAAATTGTCTAAGGAAAGAGTGCATTTAGCTGTCCATCGATGTGCGCAAAAGGTTCCCAGCGCGTGGAGGAAAGAGGCCCCCCACATCCTCCGTGAACAGGCCACACAAATCTGCCCGCAACACCGACGCAACGTAATTGTTCTAAGATCTATAATTCCAAAAATAGGCAAAAAACTACTTTACAAAAATAAATACGATGTAAAAATGAGGTTTAAACCCGGCTAGGAAAGAAAAAGGCGATCGGTGGGTGCGTTGTATGCATGGACCTATTATTGTATTATTGTAAGTTTGTAGTATTGTAGGTTATCTGCCCCGTTAACCTACTACAAAAGAACATTTAAAAGGACGCGTGTATGAGCTTTTGTTTTGATATTATCAGTTTTAGTCATAAGAGAAAGTGAGTGTATCCATCCGATAGTTTTGTGCGTAATCCTCGTGGTCACTGAATATAATCTACGTGCTTTTTATTTGAAGGTTACTTTGATACGCGGAGGGCCCGGCTCCTCAAAATAAAAACTAGGCTATGTTAAAAAAAAAAAAAAAAAAGTCAGCAATGCAATGTGTTCACTACGGGTTTGTGTTGGGTTGACTGGAGGACAGGAAAACCAAATATGGACATTAAAGTTTGCACATAAGAGATTATAATGTATAATAATGTAGGCTAGACTATTCCAATATGTTTGTATTAATAACCCAGGCCTAATCATTACAAAGATAAGTGTATTATTATAATAAAACATGCAGAGGATATGGCATAATAATAAACACATTATAAATAACATTGATAGCATTTTCAGATACCACATCACTTCAGTGTGTTCACTGATGTCTCATGCAGTGAAAGCCTTGGTTTAGTTTAATTATTTAGGTAATGGTTTTAACATTTTAGACAGCTAAAAACACGTGTACAGAGGCAGCTGATGAGCGTCCTTGAGCTCTGTCTGATCTAAAGGTTATCTCTGTGTTCAACTGCCACTTACCAGCTGCAATCTGTCCATGGAAACAAGCCCTCACTGTCACTCACGTCAACCCATGTTCTGATTTATTAAACTGTATCTATTTTTGTTAATTTGGTTTTATTTTAACAAAGAATTTAGTTAAAAAAACATGGTCAATTTGTAGAAAACCATAATGTCAAAAAAGACAAACACAAGTAAGTCAACACAAAGGAAATGAGGCGAAACTGAAACAGCCTCTACAAAGCCACTGGGACAGATTTTTCTCAGAGGCAAAAAAATGTGAAAACTCAACTCTTTACTAACGCAGTAGAGCTGAATTAAAGGTTTAAACATAGTGGCAAAAGTGCCTTGTAGAAACAGGATGAGTTTGTGTGTTTGTTCTCCTGCTCTTTGCATCATCTCAATTACAGACTGTTGTTCTCTGTTCATTTCACAAATCACTGAAAAAATAAGTTAATAATTATTATAAGTTATTATTAATTAATGCATAAATGTGTATTTGTTGACACTCCAGTCAAGTTTAAAATCTGTGTACCAAAACAAAAGAATCATCAAAATGTTAAATAAACTTTGGAATATTTGATGAAATGGTTTGTAGTGAATATTAGAAACAGTAGTTAAATTACATTAACTAATGACACTGGAAAGTACCATGCTAGCGCTGGGTGTGCTGACCTGATGAGCAGAGATAGATGGTGACTTCACCATCTGGAAATCTAGTCTGGCTCTCCCAGTGCAAAGAACTGCTGACCCATGATTCAACTTTTCAACTCAACGAGGAGAACTGAGAGACGAGGTACGGAGGAGAGGTGGAGGAGGAGGGGGAGAGGAGGAGAGGTAGAGGAGGAGGAGGAGGAGAAGATGTGGAGGAAGAGGGAGAGGAGAAGGAGGAGAAGATGAGGGGAAGAGGAGGAGAGGTAGAGGAGGAGGGAGAGGAGAAGAGGTAGAGAAGGAGGGGGAGAGGAGGAGAGGTAAAGTTCCTATCATGAGTACAGCCCAGATCAAACTGCAACAACTACAACAAGTAAAATCAACACACAAACAACAAAACACACACACGGTTAACTATTATAGTGTTACAGTGTTGGTTCCTAAGCCAAAATGTAATTAATAAATTACATCATACTCTTAACATACATATAATTCAAGCACTATATGTTGTATTCATCTTAATGTTATTGGTGTTAAAAGTCAACAGTGAATTCTCCATTGTGTTTCAGTTGCATCAGTTTAATAAAGTTTAGTAAAAAGGTCAATGAAAGTGACTCTGAAGAATGTTTGTTGTTGTGTTTTGATAAATGCTCTCTGATCATCACCTCTGATCCATCATGATAAGGCTGGTGAGCTGTGATCGACTGAAGAACGCAGGTCAGCTGGAAAAATGCCACCTCATTTACACAGACTGCAACTATTACAATCTGATTTTTCATTTTAAAATCTGATCTTTGAGTTGGTAGAAAAAAACACGTCATTGCTCCTCACGATAACATGGCCGGTAGCCCCCTGGGGAGCACTCAAACTTCTAACCAGTCGCCCAATCTGCTCCGAAGATGAATGAGCCCCATGGCCAATGGAACACATTCCTGCTCCACCAACAACAAATTATCTTCAAATGAAAACTGCACTACCTTCAGCCCCAGCGATCAGCCTGGACACACAAAGATTTCAGTGACCTGGGAAATATTTTGTTTTTCCATTCGTGGCTGACTGAGGTTAAAGAGAGCTTCTTTAAATTTAGGGCTACACCAGTCTATAAAACTAATCTGTGTCATGCTCTTTTTGAACTGTTCACAATTATGCACAGCTTGATTTACACCGATAATTTAGAGTCAACAGGAAAACAGAGTCACAATGAAGTTCATAAAAGTATAATAAATAATAAAAATGTTAAAAGTGCACTGTAGAACTTTTCTTATAGAGGTTCTGTTAAGTTACATGTCAGATCTGTGGAGAAACGAGTCCACTCACAGTAAGAATTCAAGTTTTTGAGACAATAAAGAATGCTATAATGTTATTCAGTAAATGCAAGATGGGTACGTTTAATGTCAGAGTGGGACATTCCAGACAAGGCAACAGCATCTCCATGGAGACAAGATGGGAGACCCTCTTCCAGAAAATGTTACACAGTGCAACTTTAAATCCTAATCACAAAGCTAGGAGTTATTCCTAAACTCCTTGACAGCAGTAAATACACATCTTTACCTTTACAACATTACTATCCCCGTGTATAAATATAACCTCACAGTACAGAAAAATATAAAGTATTGTATTGTTGTATTGTCCAAAAGCGTAGCCAATTGGGAGTAAAAAGAAGAAAGAACTCCTTGACTTACTTAAACAAAATTGACGTCTTTCAAGGCTTGACTGGTGAGTGTTGTATTGGATCTGGCTCAGATTGTGCTTGCTAAACCCATTAGTATGACAGCACTGATAAGGCAAAAGAACAAGAGGATGTAGCCCAATCTGAAAATCATTATTTCCAATCCTAATCCTGTCTAATGCTTATCCATACAAAAATATAACAAATTTTAGGATAGTTTGCTTCTGGTTTAAAGGTCCTATACTGTATTCAGTTGACTCGTGAGCTTTTAGCCATGTTATAATGCTGTTACCTTCTCAAAAACATACTTGGAGTTGTGTTTTGTTGTATTCACACATGTTTGAGTGAATAAAACAATGCTCTTTTCCAATGTGTGATGTAATGAAGCTGTAGTTTTCAAGGTAACAGCTCCTTTTACCTTTTGATTAGTAAAGATTGTCAATTCCAGGTCTGAAATTATCAAAAAAAAAGAAAAGAAAAAAAAAATCTTGTAAAGTTGAATGGGTTTTAAAAAGACAGG